GAAAGTAGGAGCTATGAAGAAAAAACAACAGCAACAACAAAAAACCCACTAAAATGTCTTTAAGAGAACCTTCTACTTACCATCTAACTTACATAATCAAAACACTCTATTGCGTGTGAAAATTGAGTATTATAAGAAAATAATCACCTGTTTTGTGAGAGGTTCCATACATAATGCTCCTTCACCCAATATATACCTTAAAAAGAAAAAAGGAAACATATAAAATTATCTTGAGAGTTATTCCTGCTTAAACAATTTCTATGTGCCATTATTAAGAAAGTACGCACAAAGTAAAGATAAGAAGAGAATATGCAAGCATGAACATACTTGTTAGGGATATAGGACTATGGATAATTTAAAAATTCTAATGGTATTACTCTCATGTAATTCCTCTGAAATTCTAGTTAATTGTTTGAAATGGCTCCTAGAACAGAATACTTTGAAATTTTGATGATGTCAAAAACTAAGAACTTGGCCCTAAATAATCCAAAGAATAAGGGAAGAAGAACCCGTTTCCTTCAATGAGTATTCTTTACGACGGAAACTTTCTCTCCCATCCTGTGATGGCCAAGGGTTTTTCCTCTGACAATGGCACTGACCTTACCCTATCCAAAATATGAACATCTGCATGGTTTCATGGTTCAAATTATTTTTATCCATTCTGTTGTGAGAATCAAATGGTTCACAGCATGTGGCTCCTCTGTGGGACTCCTCAAGTCCTTTCTAAGCCTGAAGACTGTTCTCTGAACCAAAGACAACTTCTGGGGATGTACCAAATCTCCCATTAGAAAATTATTGGCCAGGCGCAGTGGCTCAAGCCTGTAATCCCAGCACTTTGGGAGGCCGAGACGGGTGGATCACAAGGTCAGGAGATCAAGACCATCCTGGCTAACATGGTGAAACCCCATTTCTACTAAAAAGTACAAAAAACTAGCCAGGCGAGGTGGCGGGTGCCTGTAGTCCCAGCTACTTGGGAGGCTGAGGCAGAAGAATGGCGTGAACCCGGGAGGCGGAGCTTGCAGTGAGCTGAGATTGTGCCACTGCACTGTAGCCTGGGCGACAAAGCGAGACTCTGTCTCAAAAAAAAAAAAAAAAAAAAGAAAAGAAAAGAAAATTATTTAGATCAAGATGTTTTAACCTTTTAACTCTTTCTCAAACAAAATCATTTCATTTCTCCCTTAATGTTATTTTAAATTTCAAAATACACAGATAGCATGCCTAAAATAAAATCAAAGGAAAGATAGTTTTAGAACAAAAACTGTGGTAATTTTGAAAACACAAAAGCTAAGACACTGATTGGATCTACGTGGACACCAAGTCCACCACAAACTGTTCTCTCCTTTGGGGCTCTGGCCACACCTTTCCCTTGCCTAAGATTCCTTTTGCTTCCTACCCTTCCAAATGCTGTATTTCCCCCCAGAAGACTTGCCAAGACCACTCTAGCCTGCACATCTTCCATTTCAGCTAACCAAAGGCATCCTTGCATTGACTAAACCAAATTGTTTTGCAGAGAAGGCATCTAAAAACTTCTACTGTAGACCATTCAGCTTAATAATTGTTATCATGACATTATTCAATAACAAAATGAGGAAAGAAGTCCTCTTTAACTCCTTTGCCCTGGAGAATCCAAGCAAGTGGCTTTCCCACTTGCTTTGACCAAACCCTGGGACCTTTCAAAGTGAAAGTTTAATGGAAAGGAAAGAAAATCTAAAAGAAAAACTCTCCAAAAAACTAAACTCAGGTAAAGAATCATGGGATTAAAAATTTTTATTCTTTGTGTATTTGATTTCTGAAACATAGAAATTGATCTCTCACTCCTTAAATCTGCCACTGGGCTAAGAGGATATTGCACATAATGTGTACTCATTGATTTAACAGAATTAGAACATCCAGGTACTCACTGAGATTTTGATTCCACAACTGCTCAAAGTCTATTCATTAGTTAATGAGTTAACACAACACTTAATCTTCAAATTTTGGAAATGCTGATGGTAGACAGGAACTTGTTTTGGCAAAAGGAAGCATATGGTAGACATTGTTACCCATTATCCAACCATCACCACCTTTCCTTTAAAGTACCCCACTCTTCCTTTAAAGTTGCAGAGTCTCAGATAGTGGGAAGAAAAGAAGATTTTGCATTTTCAGGTCAAAAGAAAGTACATTTGTACAACCACATAATAGGTATGCAAGTGTTTGTTGAAATCTAAACAGAAGACAGAAGTAGTTCTAGTACCTTCACAAAAAGTAAGATAAGTAAACTTTTCCTTAATACATACTTTTAGCAGCATCGACACCTAAAAGTGGTTGACTCTACTATTGTATTAAATTACATTCATTTTGTCAATATGTGTTCCAAATTCTTACTGCTCTTTGTCTCCAAAGGGATCCTACTGAATATTGAGACAGTTCAAGAATACTAGGGAAAAAAATTTGAATAATTGAAGCAAGGGTCATCTAAGGATAATATGTCACATATACAGACACAGTAATATTTTCAACTTAAAAAAAAATCAGTTGTCAAAGTTGCACAGCAAACACTCTCCTAAGCTTAGCCTCTTCAGGCATTTGCTTTATAATCACTTTAAAGAAAAGTCAGTCACAAAATGTCACATTTTGTATGGTTCTATTTAGATCAGACATTGCCAGGATCAATGGTGGGGGAAATGTGTATAGGGAGTGACTGCTAATGGGTACAGGGTTTCTTTCTGGAGAGAAGAAAAGGTTCTGAAATTAGGTAGTGGTAATGGCTGCATAAACTGAATATGCTAAAAAAACTACTGAAATGTACACTTCAAAGGGTGAGACTTATCATATAAAAACTGTATCACAATCATTTCAAAAATGTTTGGGTATGTCAAGAAATAAACAAATAGGATCATAGCTCAAAGATACGGGATATAAAATAAATGGAACAAAACTGCTCAATAATCTATCTAGAATCACACAACGGTTAAGCTTTACCCTGACTAAAATTGCAAGCTTGGTGTTTTGTTGGTATTTCACATTTTTTACTTCTTCCTAAGTCAGCCAATAACTCCTCCTCCTCACTTAATAGTTGACTATGAAGACCGAGCCATTTTGATTCTGCCTCCAATGAGCTTTCACATGTCATTCCTCCTTCCACTCCCAGGACTACCAAACCAACGTAGGTTCTCCTCACTTCACTCTAAGATGACGGCATGGCCCTCAACTACTGTCACACTCTTCTAGGCTCTGTGAGCACAGTGTGTCTCATATTCTCTTCCGCCGTCACCAGATTTATTCTAAAACAGTTTCTTTACTGTTACTCCCCTGTTTCTCAGCCAGTTACATAGCAAGATGAATATCCAGGGGTAATAGTTTACTTACTAGAAAAAAAAAAATCTGTCACCAATTCACAGAAATGTTTCAGTACAAAATATTACATCGGCAATATTTCCTACAACTCTTCTACATGAATCCTACCCTCCTTGTGTTATAGCTCAAACTGGTCTCGTGTACTCTGAATCTCTCATTCTCTTTCCTAGATACCTGATTGTGTTTACTTTTCACCTATGTAAATAATCTTCCTGCAACCTCCACCAACTGACCAAACCCCACTCACATTTCACTGCCCAACTGAGATCCCACCTACTTCATGAAGAGCAACTCTTTGCAGCTTTAAACCTCAGAGAAATTAAGTCCATGCTTAGCTTTTCTTTTTCTTTTTTGTTCAGATGGAGTTTATCTTTGCCACCAAGGCTGGAGTGCAGTGGTGCAATCTCAGCTTACTGCAACCTCTGCCCCCCGAGTTCAAGCGATTCTCCTGCCTCAGCCTCCTGAGTAGCTGAGACTACCAGTACGCACCACCACATTTGGCAATTTTTTTGTATTTTTGGTAGAGATGAGGTTTCACCATCTTGGTAAGCCTGGTCTGGAACTCCTGACCTCAAGTGATCCATCCCCCTCGCCCTCCCAAAGTGCTGAGATTACAGGTGTGTGCCACCGTGCCTGACCTATGGGTAGCATATGATAATCAATAGGGTACTTAGAGTTCTTAGTACTTTTAATCTCCTCTTATATAGCTGGCATTTGGTATAATGAAAAACACTTTTTTAGGAATCAAGATTTATTTGGGTAGGTCACAAGCTGACTTATTATTCAAATTATTTATCCAAATAATGAGGATCATAACACACTGTTGCAAAAAAGAATCACTGAAGAAACTATGTGAGAGATTTTAAAACTGAAAATGGCATGACTCATAACTTCATGTATTTGTCTCGATTCTAGGTGGTATACTAAGATCATACACTTACATTCTTGGGATTCTTACAACAAAATGTTGAAAAGCTATACTGGTCCATTGTATAATCACATTTTCAAATGTTTTCATACATTTATCCTGAATTTGCAGATTTTTATCCAAATCTTTTCCTTGATCATTTTTTTTTTTTCCTCAAGTAAGATTCTGAACAAAAAAATGACCCATTTTCCTTTCCTGTGCTTATGGGAATATTGAGGCAACATACACAATTTTATAAACTAGTGCATAAAACTAAAGCACAATGCTAATGTCTTTTCTCCCCAATCAGTAAGGGCTTCATTAAAAAGCCCTTACATTTTAACATTCAACTATGAAAAACAAAAGAACTATGGCTTGGTGGCTAGTAAAAGGCTGGTATGGTGAGTAAGAGACACAAAGGTTAAACATTTGCTATTTTTCAGTCTTGTGTTTATTTTGTATATGTAAGTATTTGGCTGGGTTACCTAACACTGATCTTCCAAAACTGACCATGAGGTTTTATGCCAAGAGAAGTACTTTTTATAGCAATTTTACTGCTGAAACCAAAACAGCCCAGAGAAGATTTAAAGGTAACAAAATAAAACAGTACACAATTCTAAACAACTCTGCTTCACACCCAACCGGGGACTTACTCACCTAATAATGTATTTGTGATCAATTTTGTAACAAGCTGTCAAAAGGAGACCTCTAACATCTGCTCATGAAGGAATCACTTCAGCATGTCCTGCTGTGCAGCAGAAAACACATGGGAATCACTCAGAACTCCAGATTTCCAACAGAGCAGCATTTCCTAGAGAGTAAGCCAGAGGGCATCGTCCTCTGAGATGCTGTCAGGAACACTAATTAACAAATTTGAGAAAAACAGAAAATGGCATTAAGGCTTCCAAGAAGTCCTTTGGTAAAAGACACTTTGAACCTGGCTTCCCCAAATCCTTGCAATCCCCACAAAACAAATATCTATGAACATACCACTATATTAGCACTCACAGAACACTTGGGGAGATATGGCAAAGATTAGGCTGCAGGCCTCAGGTAAGTAAACTCTTAAAACACAATATTGAAAAAAATAGAAATCTAAAAATTAAAACAGAAAAACAAAAGCAAAAGATAAGTAAATAAATAAAAAATTTTAACAAACAATATTGGGCTGGGCAAAGTGGCTCAGACCCATAGTCTTAATACTTTTTGAGTCTGAGTGGGGTGGATCGCTTCAGCCTAGGAGTTCGAGACCAACACGAGCAACATGGTGAAACCCTGTCTCTATCAAAAATACAAAAATTAGCTTGGCCTGGTGGCATACACCTGTGGTTCCAGCTACTCAGGAGGCTGAGGTGGGAGGATGATTTGAGCCCGGGAGGCAGAGGTTGCAGTGAGCTGTGATTGCACCACTCACTCCAGCCTGGGGCAACACAGCAAGACCCTGTCTCAATAAAATTAATTAATTAAATAATAAAACCAATATTCATTTACTGTGTGGGGAAACTCAAAATGAGCTTGGCACATCCATACGTAATACTAAGGTTTTTTTTTTTTTTAACCCACAGTTTTTTTTCTCTTTTACCGGTGGATATCATGTCCAGATAAGTATTCTATAGTACCAACACCACAGTTAATATGTATTTTGATTATACAGAATAATGATTCTTAACAGGATCTTAGCCCCCAAAACACATACATAAGCATGTACATCAAATACAAGTAAAAATAACTGTAGCAACAAAGCTCTTCTGGAGAAAGTTCTGAAGTCAGAAGTAGTCACTCATATTTTTACCCTAAATGCAACTATTACTATCTCAACCATAGAAATGATCAAAGTAAGGGCTGGAGATATTTAGATTTTAATCACCATAATGTGGATTATGTCACATAATGGAATTAGTCAGCTGAGTGTTTGAAAATCCTCATTATTTTAAATTGCTCATACTTTCAGGGTCTACAGAACATTTCACAACTAACCTAGCAAACCGTGATCTTTTCCCCAGTTCTGTAAGACTTTCAATCACAAAAAAGAAGCAATACAAATTTCAGTAAAACTGCATGACAATTACCATTTGATTCTACTACACTGCAACTATCACCTCTAGAAGTAATTAGCCAGCTCCACAGGTCCATGAGACTTCCCATGATTATTCCTAGAAGTACTAATTAGGATCACAGGCATGTGGGGACCACCCTGTAATCGTAACATTCTCTAAACCTTCAGTCACAATTTACGTTTGAAAAACCTTTGGTTTTTATGATTAAAATGTGTATATATGTGTGTGTGTGTGTACGTGTAAATATATATGTGTGTGTGTGTATACACATATATCACTAAAATCTCTACCTATCAGCAACATAATGATTTATAACCAATGGTTTCGGATGTGGGCCCCAGAACAACAGTATCAGCTTCACCTGGGAACTTCTTAAAAATGTAAATGCTCAGGCAACACCACAGACCTACTGAATCAGAAACCCTGGGACTAGCTCTCCAAATGATTCTGGTGCACACTGTATTAAAAAAAAATGTAGGCCAGGCACAGCTGCTCATGCCTGTCATCCCAGCACTTTGGGAGGGCAAGGTGGGAGGATCGCTTGAACCCAGGAGTTCAAGAACAGCCAGAGCAACATAGTGAGACTTAATCCTATAAAAAAAATTTTTTAACTAAAAAGAAAAAAAAAAAAATTAAAGTAATCACTTAAACGTATGCTCCTGAAAGAACAGTTAACACCACTCAAACAAATGGAGGATCAAATGGAAAGTTAGCCTAAAAAGCAAATAAGCAAGTTTAATTAATTTGAAGAACATCCTTAATGCTATATACTCTTTGGAAGATTTTCAAAGAATCTATAAAAGAATATGTACATTTATTATCAGATAATGGGTGAAAGCCATAAAGGTAAAATTAGTAGGAACAGAAATGAAAACCAAAGCAAATAAAAATGAAGTGAAAACCAGGCCCAAACAGAACAGTGTTATGGTAAACTTATGGAACATATGAAGGGGTTCCACTTCAATAGAACTATATAAAGGAACCATTCCAACGATGACAGTCTAGGTAACTTAGATCAATCTTCCCACTGAGAATAGAAAAGTGGACAAAATGTAATGATTACAGGGGCTGAGAAAAGGGAATACCAGAGAACAGAGTCTTCTTTTTTCCCCCTTGGGTTTTCTTCCAATGACAGCAGAGAAGAAGAGGTTAATAAGCTGAGCTAGAACTCACAGCCTCACAGAGCTCACAGGGAGATAAACATTGGAGCTCAGCGTCCACCGAGGAGAGGCCCTGCTAACTCTCCCACTCCTCAGGTTGGGGACCTGAAGAACAAACTGCAAATTGCCCTGACAGGGAATGATGGCCAGCTTTAATCATCTCAATCCCTGATTGGATGAGACAATCCTGGGTCGCTAATTTCCAAGCCCCTGGCAGGGGCAAATGTAAATCCTCTCTGGAGAAGAATATCATCCAAGGCTTCAAATTAGCTCTACAATTTTTCATATATAATGTCTATCACTAAAAATAAAAAGCCACATGAGACTTAAAGACAAGCTAACAGAAAATAAGAGAAGCAAACAACAGACACAAAACCACAAGGGATCGAGATAACAGAGTGACCAGACACACTTCAAAATAACTCTGCTGAACATGAGCAAGGAAAGACAGGACAAGACTGAAAACCTGGCAGAGAAATGCAAATTATGAAAATCAACCATAGGAAATTCTGCAATTTAGAACTACCAAAACTGAAAGTAATAACTTAATGGATAAGTTTAACCACAGCAGTAACTTAGCAGAAGACAGATTCAGTAAATTCAAAAAAGGCAGAAAGACAAAAAGGTAGAAAATTGAAAAAAATAAAAGACAATATATTGAAAAGTGTATCACATACCTAGAGCCCTGGAAGAAAAAAAAAGAATGAGACAGAAGCAAGAGCTGAAGATATGGTTGTGGAGAATTTGCCAAAACCGATCAAAGACTTCACAAGATTTAACCACCATAAACAGTTAAAGACAAACAATGGAAGCTAGCATAAAAGAATGATATCTTCAAGGTGCTGAAAGAAGGAAACTGCCAATCTAGAAACTTAAACTCAATGAATATATTCTTCAATAATGAAATAAAAAGTAAGGATTTTCTCCATCTGCAGACTCACACTAAAGGAAATACTAAAGGATATTTTCAGACAGGAGAAAGAGGATCCTCTACATCAAACCTTGGGGACTCTATTCCACAAACTCTGTACCCTGGAACTCAGGAATCAAGATTTTACAGAAATAAAAAGCGTTCTTCAGGGAGGGGAAAATAAAGGTTGAGGGTGACTGGTAAAATGAAGTTTGAGTTACCTTAGTATATGTTAACTCTGAACCAGACTCTCAGGCTCTACAAGGATCTCATGAAGTTATCTGATTTCCCATTTAACATCTCAGCCTTCTAAGTTATTCTTAAGGATGAAGAACATTCTATTTTTCAAAGACTACATCACCAGATGGGTCTAAATAGTTACAAGTCACTTCCTTATATTGAGTTGAAAATCACCCCTTTGTAATTTGACTTATTAGTTCTAGTTTTATGCCCTGTCTTTACCAAAAACAAATAAAAATAAAAACTAATGCTTCCATATACATACTTTTTCAAATAGCTAAAGACAAGCTATCATGAACCTGAACCCCCATCCTTTCCTCTCCAAATCCACAATTTCATCAGCTATCCTAGGACATGGAAAAGAATCTCTTCCCAATCCTGGCTATTATTCTCTAAATGAACCTATCCTTGTCTAAGTAGATCCTTCTTAAAGTACCACCTCAGAATTCAATTCAGTAATTCTGATGTTGCCTGTAACATCAGAAAATGACTTCCTTAAAAGTACAGCAAGTTGGATTTGTCAAGTTGCTGACCAGGTTGCATTCCCTCCTGCCCTCACTCCCATCTTTGTGTTATGCTTTATCTCAAGTTCCATTTTGCTTATTATTCATGACTCTCAAGTTGTCACTGTGGACATCAGAGGCCATAAATATATATTGTTCTGGCTCTTTCCTGTAAATCTTTCTGAGTCATACCTGCTATTCTCCAAAGTCTGTGAATCCTGTTACTAATAACTTGGCAATTCAGTTTAAGGTCCTCTTCAGAAGGTCAGTTAGCTCAAGGCAATCACATTCTTCCCAGGCCTTTTAAAAAATACTCCAACCCTAGAAAAGGCCCTTCTTTCTGGTATCAGCCATGGGCCACAAACACAAATCCAATAGCATTTCAGTCATTTACCCCCCAGATCATCCCCTCCCTAAAGTTCTAACTAGAGCAGGAAAAAATAATGAAAACACCACCTGCAGTCATGAATCCTCCAGTTTCCTGACCAAGATTTCATATTCCCTTCAAGATACCTCCCAAAGAGGACATGACAAGGGAGGGGAACACAGGGTGCTACAGGTACTGATAAGGTTCTATTTCTGTTTTATTTTGTTTTTGAGATGAAGTTTCACTCTTGTCACCCAGGCTGGAGTGCAATGGCATGATCTTGGCTGACTGTAACCTCTGCCTCCTGGGTTCAAGTGATTCTCCCACCTCAGCCTCCCAAGTAGCTGGGACTACAGGCACCTGCCACCACACCCAGCTAATTTTTGTATTTTTAGTAGAGACAGGGTTTCACCATGTTGGCCAGACTGGTCTCAAACTCTTATCCTCAGGTGATCCACCTGCCTCAGTGTCACAAAATGCTGGGATTACAGGGATGAGCCACCATGCCCAACCAAAGGTTCTATTTCTTAAGTTTGGCATTGGGCACATGTTCATATGATTTAATGGTTTTTTTTTAAAAAATGGTATCTTCCTGTTTTTTGTGGTGTTTTGGTTTTTGTTGTAGGCCTGCATGCTTCATTTGTTCACCCATATGAATCCGTAAAGAAGTAACCATTAGCAACTTCAGTCAATATATACTAGATTTATACTTTAGGAAGACAATCCAGTTGACAACCACAACAGTTTCTACGATAACAAAAGTCAGAGAAAATACTGACATTAGGATCATTTCTAGAAAGTTCAATCATAAGATATATCCCCAAGCAAAAATATACACACAGAAAAGCTAAGTAAGAAGCTTTTAGAAAACTACTACCATCCTTACAGTAAGTACAACAAAGTATTCTTTTATGTCTTTGTTTTTTTCATCAAAATACCTCATACAGCCATAGATTTTAAACCATTACATTTTATCTAGATTCCATATTAGATCATTAACATTTTTTCTAGATTCCATTGTTATTCTTTTGTAATCTTTATTTTAGGTATCTTAAAAATACTTTATTAAATATAAAACATTCAGAAAAGTACACAAAATATACCTTAAGGTAGACCTTAACAAGTTACTCTAAATTATGTGCCCATGTAACCACCAGCCTACTCCAGAAAGATATTAGAGCCAGGATCCAAGAAGCCCATAGATGTATCTTTCAGTTCACACCTCCCTACCTCCCACCTAGATGGACTCCTTAACCTACCCTGTGTGTAATCACCTCTTTTTTCTTGATAGTTTTACTGCCCAAGTATGAATCCATAAATAAGTGTTTCTCAGTTTTCTTTTCATTTACATTCTATGGCCCTTTGGAGGGCAGCAGACCATGATAATAGGTAAGATTTTCTTTCACTCTAAGGAACCAGTTTTTACTCCACTACAGGCGATATTGCCTCCACTAAGAATGTATGCCCTAACCAACATGAGTTTTGCCTATTTTTGAACTCTATATAGAGGGAATTGTACAAATTAGGTTTTGGGGGTCTGGTCTCTTTTGCTTAACATAGTGTTCAAGATTCGCCCATCTTGTCCCACATAGCTGTAAGCCATTTTATGAATACCACAATTCTCCATTTTACTGGAATGAACATTTGGGTTATTTTCTGTTTGTGGCTATTACAAACAATGCTGCTCTGAACATTCCTGTGTCTCCCGGCACCTACGTACTCGTTCTTGTGGAGTATATATCCACGACATTCCTGAACCATAGGGTATGAGTATCTTCCACTTTACCAAACTGTTTTCCAAACACTTGTACAAATATACACCCATTAGAAGGATATAGAGTCTCACAACAATTTTCTTACCTTAAAAGATAAGCAAAATGTCTCCTATCCCTTGTTTTTCTTTTAAGATCTGAAGATCACTGTGCAAAGAAAATTTGTTTGCAATTCAAACAAAAATATTATTATTATTATTTTTACTAACTCAAAAATGAACCAATCAGAAAGTTAAAATTGAGCACCCAGGGTAAGTTCCAGAAAGAGGAGATCTTAAGCTTCTCTATATCCCTGGGAAAAATAGAGGCCACTATAGCTTCCAGCTCCTTTAGAATAAATGTCCCAAAGAGATCATAATAGCCTAAATCTAATCTAATAAGAGGGTTCAGAGTTTGTAGTCATTCTAAAGGAAAATAGTCACATGTATATAATTTTCTCAAGAATTCAAAAAAAAGTTTAATATGCTTTCTTAAACTTGTATTATTAGCCAAGGTGTTCAAGTAGAAAAATTTGCCATGGACAGAACTGTCAAAAGTTAAATCACTAAAAAATCAGTATTTTTCTACAACTGTCCTATATATACATATCCAATATGTATCCCACCCCCCACTCCCTCTTTTTTTTTTTTGTTTTATGAGACAGGGTGTCTCACTCTGTCACCCAGGCTGGAATATAATGGTGCAATCACAGCTCATTGCAGCCTTGACTTCTCCAAGCTCAAAAGATCTTCCTGCCTCAGCCTCCCACCACCCCTGGTAGCTGGGACTACAGGTGTACTCCACCTGCATATTTTTAAAGTAATAACATAACTACCTCCACAATAAGAGTTGATTATGTTGCTTTCAAAACTGGGGGAAAAAATAAAAATCAACTTGGCAATCATTCCCTGTATAATGAAATGTATTAAACTTATTTACTTATCAAGCAATATTGCTCAAGCTTTTTGCCAGAAGATAAAAATCATGTAAATGTTCACTCTATCAGGAAGATGACAAAATATTCCAATGGACCTCTAAAAACAATTTCTTTAAATCCAAAAACAAGCAAACTCATCCTATCTTACCCCCTACATCTTTTGGAACTTGATTGTGTTTGAGTTTCAGAAAATAAAATTAGTAAACATTTCCATTTCTGTCCAGTTTTAAGAAATGACATTTATAATCTGACAACAGAAAAGAACAAAAGAACAATCAGAAGAGCAGGGATTTAGAGATCCTTACCTGTCTTATAACTCTGTGATCTGTATATGTCCCTGAGCTCTTCCATAAGTCTATCTGAAGCTTGCACTGACCCAGACACTGCAGCCTGAAACACAAAAGCCACTGTTTATCAGGGTCTACTGAACCAACTAATTTGAAGATTTAAGGTATTTCAACCTGCTCTAAAAGATTACAGTAGCCAGGCAGGGGGCTCACACCTGTAATCACAGCACTTTGGGAGGCTGAGGAGGGTGGATAAAGTGAGGCCAAGAGTTTGAAACCAGCTTGGCTGTCAGGATGAAACCTCATCTCTACTAAAAATATACAAAAGTTGGCCAGGCATAGTTGCATGTGCCTGTAGTCCCAGCTACTCAGGAAGCTGAGGCAAGATAATCACTTGAAAATGGGAGGTGGTGGTCATAGTGAGCTGAGATGGTGCCACTGCACTCTGGTCTGGGTCACAGAGTGAGACTCCATCTCAAAAGAAAAAGAAAAAAGAAAAAGATTACAATAAAAATGGATCACCACTCAACAATTTTAGAAGTTAAAAAAAAAAAGTCCAATTAAATGAAGCATTATGAAGTTTCAAGAGAATATAAAACCAGACACAAGTCTGGTTCATTTCCTTTACTTATCACCTAAAAAAGTCTAGCCAACATATTCAGACCACCATGGACTCCACGATAGCATAGAATTCAGTATGAGTCTATTCCAAACCCCAGAAATTTTTGAAAATACTAGAAGACACTCAAGGTGACACATTATTAACTAAAATAGGCTTCATTCATAAGACTACAAGCAAGAATATTACACAGATGGTCTAGTTCACATATTAAGACACTGAGAACCATGTGTGCCTACATGCAACTGGTTTCAGTTTTTCAGTGCAGGGACTTCTTTAAAAATGAAAACACATCAATATCTTATCTTAAGACTAAATAGAAATGGAACTACTTTTTGGTCATGTGAAACTAAAGGTTTTAAAGACTACACTAGACTTTGAAGGAGAAAAAAATCAAATTTATAAAAATATTACTCCTAGCTATGTAATCATGAACTCATTTCATATCTATAAAACATGAGAACTTTTTCCTATCTCTAAAATATAAAGAGCACCTATTTCACACAGTGGCTATGATGAATAAATGAAAAGATCTATAAAGTATAAAGTATTTAGCATAGTATCGGTCATACAAAAGTGTTCAATAATTTATACTTGTTTTGAAGATAACTCAAACTGGAATTGATCACAAGACACAGAAAGCACAGTAACATTAATTCAAATGCTACAATCTTAGTTTTTTAAATAATCAAGATATGGGGGATTGGCTAAATTTCTTTGCTGTATGAAAAATTACCAATTAAATTAATATATAAATAAGATTGAAGGAGGGAGAGTTATCTATCTGATTTCAACATTTGGCATCTATTTGGCTAACAATTCATTCCCTGTTTTGGAGAACCTGTGCCCAAGACAAAGTAACTGGTCCTTGGATATTGTGGAGTTGGTAAATAGCTCTAGTACAAGGCAGGAAGCAGTAAGTGTTCAGACAATCATTTGATGCTTCCCTACTCTGTCTAAGCATTTTATGTATATACATGCATCATTTTAATTTATTTTTCATAGCAATCATCCAAAAGATACGTATTGTCTATCATATTTTAGAGTTGAGCAAAGTGAAACCATATGTGTGTCTGTCTCCAAACTCAGTGTTCCTTTCCCATCCTGCTGCTTCACCTAAAAGAGATTTTAAGTCAAAAGAGAAACATTACTTTTGGTTCGGTCCGAGCAGGATGGACCAAAGTCAGCTTCATGAAGGAGAAATAATTTGAGTTGTGTTTTGTAGGAGAGAATGAATTTGAATATACAGATGCCACAGAAGGTTTTCTCAGCAGAGAAAACAGCATAGACAGGTGGAAAGGAGCATATACAGGGATCAGCAGGTGGTTCAGGATGTGAAGAGCAGATGAACAGGGTAAAAAGTGGGTATTCATAGACGAGAAAGATAACTTTGGGCAGCAAAGCATATGAGTGTGGCTGGGCATGGTGGCTCATGTCTGTAATCCCAGCACTTAGTCAGGCCAAGGTAGCAGGAATGGTTGAACTCAGGTGTTCAAGACCAGCATGGTCAACATAGTGAGACCTCATCTCTACTAAAAATCAAAAAGTTTAGCCTGGTGCGGTGCCACATGTCTATAGTCTGAGGCACTTGGGAGGCTGAGGCAGGAGGACCACTGGAGGCAGGAGCACCACTGGAGCCTGGGAGACCAAGGCTACAGTGAACTATGATTGTGCCACCGCATTCTAGCCCAGACGACAGAGCAAGATCCTGTCTCAAAACCAGTAAACAAATGACTGAATCCACCACTAAAGCAGGAATGGAGAAGGAGAGCAGCTGAGATCAGCATGTTCATGAATTGCCTGGTGTTAACTATAATTACTTGACCAAAAAGTCCAGGCTCCAGATATTTATACACACTTACACATTTAAATGGTCTTGCCTTTCAGTCTTCCTAATTTTCTCTAATATTGCCCAATTTTCTTTTTCAATTCCTTCATCCTCCAACTTTTTCCCACTAATAGGCTCTTCTTCCATCTCATAGTGATCTAAGTTCTTCTATATCCTGCAAAAAAAAAGAAAAATGTTAGCTTATTCAACCTATTTTTCTTCAGCAGTTTCTTACGCAAAAGTTAAATTATTCTTGACTCAATGGCGGACAATAAACAGAATATATCTATCCTATGGGGAGAGAGAAAAAGCCCCACATTCCATTCAAGAGGCTCTCACCTTTTATATCCTGTATTTTATTTAATAGCTAGACTCTGGGTAAAGCAGATTTAAATCTTTACAAAGTCACAACTATTATGAAATAAGCCATCATTTATTTATTGACTTCTTTATTTATTTTATTTTATTTTTTTTAAGATAGAGGCTCACTCTGTCACCCAGGTGGGAGTATAGTGGGGCAATCTCTGCTCACTGCAACCTCTGCCTCCCAGGTTCAGGTGATTCTCATGTCTCAGTCTCCTGAGTAGCTGGGATTACAGATGTACACCACCAAGCCCAGCTAATTTCTTTGTATTTTTAGTAGAGACAGGGCTTCACCATGTTGGCCAGGCTGGTCTCAAACTTCTGATGTCAAGTGATCTGTCCACCTCAGCCTCCCAAAGTGCTGGAATTACCAACATGAGACACCACGCCTGGCCAAGCCATCTTTTAAATCTCCTCTTAAGAGGAACCTTTGAAACAGTTTAGCAGCAGATGTCAAGAACCTTAACTGTTCATAGTTTGTTCCAGAAACTTGACTTCTAGAGTTGTATTCCAAGAAACCAGTCTAAGATGTAAACACAAATTTAGGCATAAGGATAACTATTTCAACCTTGCAACCACAAAAACAAACAAAATCTGCGTGTGCAATAATAGTAAAACAGTTAACTCAATTCCTTTAACTATTAAAAGGCCACTGAAATACCAACACAGCATAATTTCTCCTGTTTCGAAAAACTTTGAAATGAAAAATGGAATACACATAGGAATAGAAAGAATTTCAATTATGCTGAAATAAGCACAGAAAAAGACCAGAAGAACTTATATTGAAAGGTTAATTTCAATTAATTTTAGTTGTTATCTCTGGAGACATTTGGTGCTTTCCCCTAATTTCCAAGTTTATGGTTTTATGTAGTAAGCATCTATTGATGTTAATAACTTAAAAATAAATTAGAAAAAGAATTTGATCTCAGGTGCTCAGGAGGCTGAAAAAGAAGGATCATCTGGGCCCAGGAGTTTGAGGCTGCAGTAAGTTATGATCATGCCAACTGCACTCCAGCCTGGGTGACAGCAACCCTATCTCAAAAACTAATAATAATTTTAAAGGAATTTGAATAACACCCCACAGAACAACATCTTAATTCACATTATTCTGCTCCCTCCCTTCCCATACTATCTGTTCTTACACATATACAAATATATGCAGAATTGTTTAAATCCTAACTTTTTTCAACTACCTTATTTTTCCACTTCAACTGCCAAAATCTCTAAAGGAGTAGTTTATATTTATCTCGATTTTTTTTTCCAAGCCGGCTAACTAACCGATTTCTAGATCAGATTACTGACTACCTTCACTCAACCTCTGCCCATGACTCTGTACTTCATGGAGCTCCCTTCTCCCTGTATACACCTTTCAGCCCTGATCTTCCATCCTACACTTGTTTTTCCCCACAATGCTCACAAATGCCTTTGGCCTATATTTCCTCCTGTACCTCCAACTTCGGTCATGTTCCCATCCACAAAACTTCTCTACCTCAGTATTAATCAGCACATCCCAACAACGTATCTTTCTAAAACAATATTCTCAGCACACGATTCCCCGCTTAAGGCCTTCTTATCAACAAACACACCAAATAGAAACATGCCTATCTCAAATTCAAGATTCTATCCATCTGCCTTTTCTGGAAAATCTTGCATTCCATGACTTCAACACATCAAATTTCCTTCTCAAAACAAAAGCATCCAATGCACCAAAACACACCATGTCCAAAGTCATTCTGGGCTTGTTCCCATGTTATTTTAGGAGCCTAGAATATCTGCTTTTCACCTGTCCTAATCTGACACCTCCAAAGTCCAGTCTCCTGCCTTTCTAGATTTCCCTCAAAGTTGCAGTCCCTTGTTTTTCATCTTGTGAAGGGAAAATGAAAGGGTTCATGAACTTTAGTACAATGGCTGCCTGACCCATGGAAAAGGTTTAATGTTTACATGCAGCTTATTCCACCTAAGCTAAACTGCATAAAAACATTGAAACAGACTCTCATTCTAATTGGACAATTTTAAGAAGTATTTTACTCCCAGACTCATAAAACAAGCCTACAGCCAGGCACAGTGGCACACACCTGTAATCCCAGCACTTTGGGAAGTTGAGGTGGTGGATCACCTGAGGCCAGGAGTTCAAGACCAGCCTGGGCAACAGAGCGAGACTCAAATGCTACAAAAAATAAAAATAAAAAAAATTAGCTGGACATGGGGCACAGGCCTGTAGTCCCAGTTACTCAGGAGGATTGCTTGAACCCAGGAGTTCAAGGTTACAGTGAACCGTGACCATGCTACTGCACTCCAGCCTGGGTGACAGTAAACCCTGTCTCAAAAAACAAACAAAAACAAGGCTACAACACTACTTTTTTAGTTCTGAATCCCTCTAATGTATATTTTACATTAAAAATTTCCAAACCAAGAAAATGAAAGCCTAAATTAATTATAAGATCCCAAACAGAAAAAAATCTTTTAAAACAATCAAGACCATGGAATTCACATACATTCTATTTGGTCAATGCAGAGACATAGAAGATCTTTGTTCCAAAGTTTAAGTTTAAATGAAAAGCTTCAGAGCCTAAAAACATCTAAAATTATACCCATGACTGACAACTGGCCTAGGCTCAATGTCTTTGGAATTTGCTCTACTAAATTTGCTACTGTATGAACGTATTCCCTCCAAAATTCAAGTGTTGCCAATGTGATGATATTAAGAGGTAGGTCTTTTAAGAATGATTAGGCCAAGAGGGCTCCTTCCTCCTTCATGGGATTAAGGCCCTTATGAATGAGGCCTCACACGTTGGACTAGATTGCTCTCCTGCCCTTCTTCCTGCTACCATGTGAGGATGCAATGAAAAGGCCCTGAGACACCAAATGTTGATATTTTCATCTTGGATTTCCCAGACTCCAGAACTGTCATAAAATAAATGACTGTTCTTTATAAATTACTCACTCTCTGTTATTCTGCTACAACACTATAAAACAGATTAAGACAAATTTCTTTGAATGATTTTTCAACAAGAGACAGTTTCACTACTTCTGGCAAGTGGTCCCTTAAATATTCTCAAATTCTCCTTTTATGCAAACATAAAATTTTTTAAACTCAGTAGTTTCTCATCCAAAAAATAACCAAATACAGGTTAAGTACTGATTAGTATTAAATATAATTTTAGTGCTAAAAGTTAAGAGCTTTTGTTTACCAGAAAATCAAATCCAAGAATTCAGATAAAACAATTTGCTCAAAGGCATATCATGAGTTAGAGGTAAAGCTAAAATTTATGTTACATTCCATTCCAAATACGATGTGCTTTCAATTATTCTACATTAATATTTATTTATAAAGAAGATTAGAGAATGACTCAAATGTTCAAAACTGAAGATATTTATGATTTTTTTTTTTTTTTGAGACAGGGTCTCACTCTTGTCGCCCAGACAGGAGTGCAGTGGCATGATCTTGGCTAACTGTAACCTCCACCTCCTGGGTTCAAGCAATTCTCCTGCCTCAGCCTCCTGAGTAGCTGAAATTACAGGTGCCTACCACCATGCCCAGCTATTTTTTGTACTTTTAGTAGAGGCAGAGTTTCGCCATGTTGGCCAGGCTGGTCTCAAACTCCTGACCTCAGGTGATCCAACCACCTTGGCCTCCCATAATGCTGGGGTTACGGGCATGAGCCACCTCACCTGGCCAAAATGTTATTCTTACATAAAATGCCTACTTCAGCCATCTCTTCTTCTTCCTCTTCTTTTGAAGTCACTTCTTCTGTTGTCCCATTCTGAAATAGAGAAAAAATCTGCCAGGGTTACACAGAACAAGTATGCACATTAGAAGACTGGTGTAATAGCTTTAGGAACAAACTCCCAACCATCTGTCACTGCAGTTCCACTACCAGAGAGCTTATTAAAATTAAAATGTGCATTTTAAAATCCAACTTTGATTTGACAAACAACAGTTCTCAGCTTTTAAAAATGAAACAATTTTGAACAATTCAACTTAATGGATGTCTTAGGAATAAAGGAAAGCAATCAATCAAACATAAAGCAAAACTGAAAAAAATTTTAAAACATAATCTAATTTAAAATAAGAAAACATTTTACTTGTATGGCTATGTGCATAAGATCAAAGGCTTATTTTGTTTAAAACAAATGTCCCAAACTATCAATTCCTCAAAACAGCTACCTTTTTAACTTTGAAAAGCCTGAATCATTACATAAATTCAATTTCCTTACATTTTAAGAGGTCAGACGTGTTACTTATAATAGACACTTCCCAAAACTAAGAATTATGAAATGATTACCACCTCACTATAAAGGAAATTTTCTTTTAAAAAACATGTAATTTACTATCAAATATCTCTCTACAAGACACAATTTACCAATTAACACAAATTACAATTATCAAGTTCAGAAATGAATGTAATGAATTTTTAGGAAGGGCCTTCATAGCCAGTTAGGGCAAAGTTCAAAAGACAAGCTTCCTGGTCAGGACACAGTATATAAATGCATCTTCAACCATAAAGGCCAGTTCAGGTTAGAACCCAGAATATGTAAAAGATCAAGAAACTAGGATCCAGAAATCAAGACCAACAAAACTGTCAGCAGTATCTAAGCAGCAGCTTCCAAAATGTAATCCACCCCTTTTTCACTTCCCTAAATTATTATATTACAAATTCAATTATTCTGGGTATCTAAAGAATATATACCTAGCCTCAAAATCCCAAAGAGTTTGGTTGCATCAATGGTTGAAAGAGCATTTTTGAAATGCTAATTTCAAAGCCTATCCAAAGAATCTGTTTTGCAAAACTCTCTGAGGTGATTCTCACATGCATCTGGGTCTGTCACCACTAGCCCAGTTACTAGCCTTCATTCTACACATGAGAAAGCTGAGCCCCCACCCCCTCAAAAAGGGGAAGTAATTTAATCAAAACAAAAAGTGAGTTAGGGCTGTGAAATCCTAAGATTTATTTCATTTCGAGATGTGACCTGGTCCTCTTTCTAAAACCCCGCTGAAATGACAGAATTTTATAAAAGAGAGTAAGTTCGCTGCAGCAGCAGCAAAACAAGAATACAAAAAGAATACCCTTAGTGAACCAAAACTGTAAGGACATGCTGGAAGATACAAAGCAGATGGAATCAGACTGCTGGGCTCGAGAAAGCCATAAACCCAATCCAAATAATGGAGGGACTACTTTTGTTTGAAGAATCAAACATTCTTCATCATACTTGTCCCAACTATAGTTGGTAAGGATCACTCCGCTAATAGGAAGCCTATCTTGAAGGTCTCTTACTATGACTGTCAAAACCAGAGAGAAAAGACAGAATGTTTTTTAATATAACTCAATGCAGCAGCAAAATCTTATAACAGACTCTGCCTCTTCATTTTTGCTCAAAATCTGGAAAGCTCACCGGCCAGCACCTCCCCATCCTCATGCCACAGGAAGAGCACAGGTCTGCAAACCAGGAGGGGGAGGTAACAGCAGAAAAGAGTGACAATTCTGAAGACACTCATAACTACTCATACTGATCAAAGGTATACCTCATGTATAAATTAACAGATAACCATGTATCATCAGAGAGTTGAAGAAAATTATCAACCTGCAAGGAAAGTGCCAAGTCAAAGAAGCACAAATGACCTGAAGCACTGCTAATGAAGGAAATAAACAGAATTTTAAAATCTAATTGGAATCTTTAGCAGTAATTGAGAAGATACTGTATCCACAAAATACAAAACAGATTACTATGTAAAAGACAATTCTAGGAGGTAAAAATAAAACCCCCAAATCAAAAAATGAAAAAAAAAAAAAACACTTGTAGAAGGGCCAGAGCACAATGGACTTGACTCAGCAAAGCATTTAAGGTGACTCATGTCTGTAATCCCAGCACTTTGAGAGGTTGAGGTGGGTGGATCATGAGGTCAGGAGATCGAGACCATCCTGGTTAATGTGGTAAAACTCTGTCTCTACTAAAAGTACAAAAAATTAGCCAGGCATGGTGGCACATGCCTGTAGCCCCAGCTACTCAGGAGGCTGAAGCAGGAGTATCACTTGAACGTGAGAGGTAGAGGTTGCTGTGAGCCAAGATCGCACCACTGCACTCCAGCCTGGGTGACAGAATGAGACTCCATCTCAAAAAAAAAAAAAAAAAGGAAAACCCACACACTTTACAGTTACACAGAAAATCATACTATCAGAAAGAACTAAGAATCAGATAGGCATCAGAGTTTTCATCTATAACAATAAATATCAGAACATAAAAGTGTAAAGACCTGGAAAGAAACTCAATCATGACCTCAGAATTCTATATCTAACTCCCTCAAGACAGGAAGCCTATCTGTGTATGTTTGCCTCCAGATTCTCCACACTGATATGGATGGAGTACTTTATACAGAGTCAGATATTTGTTGAACAAATGATAGCAGACAGTAAGTTCATGGAACACACTCCATACACATCCCCACAAACCCTTTCTAGGGGGAAAAAAACCCAGGATATTATTCAGGGATATACTTGAGGGGCAGGGAGCAGGAGACATAATACAAGAAGTAGCAATAAGCAAAGACAACAGTAACACCAATAGTGAAGTGTAAATGATTGCTATATAGCTGAAAGGTCACTTGCCATATTCTCTGACCATACTGATGCACTAAAAATAACTCAAAAGCCACCTGAAAATGCCTTTTAAATTTTTTTTTCTAGATAACTCTTGGGTAAAAGAAGAAATTGATCCTCATGCCTCAATCATCCAACTCCTATGTATGTGCCCCAGAAAAATGCTGGCACAGGGGTACCATGAAATATAGACAACAATGATCACAGCAGCATTCGCTGTTCCTAATAACACTGGAAACAACCCACATGTCTGTATCTAGCCAAGGGGATAAATGGTATGGTGTATTCAAACAATGGAGTAAATACAGCAAAGCAAAAGAACGATAGCTACGCACAATAGGAACAAATTTCACACACAATATTGAGCACAACAAAGGTATGAAAAAATACATATAGCATGATTTTCAAAAGTTTAAACAATAGGCAACACTACACTGTATTGTTCAAGGATGCATATGTGAGCGATAACACTAGAGAAACTTAAGTTTTCTGTAGTGCAGGCAGTGTGCCTTTTCTTCTTCACCTCAGTGCTGGCTAGGTGTTGGTTCCCAAGTACTCACTCTAACTATATGTTACAATAAGCTTATGTTTTACATAGTTTCAATACATGTCATATCTCACAATAAAAAGGTTTTTTTTTTGGGGGTGGGGGCAGAGTTTTGCTCTTACTGCCCAGGCTTGAGTGCAGTGGCACGATATCAGCTCACTGCAACCTGTCTCCCGGATTCAAGCAGTTCTCCTGCCCCAGCCTCCTGAGTAGCTGGATTTGTAGGCATGTGCCACCACACCCAGCTAATTTTTGTATCTTTAGCAGAGATGGGCTCTCTCCCTGTTGGTCAGGCTGGTCTCGAACTCCTGACCTCAGGTGATCTGCCTGCCTTGGCCTCCCAAAGTGCTGGGATTACAAGCATGAGTCACCGTGCCCGGCTAATAAAAAGTTTTAATAGTAAGAGCAATGAGAACATAGGACACAATAAAATGACTTAGAAAATACAAACTGTTTAGAAAATAGATTTTAAAACTTGTGTAATAAAGTCAAACAGCACCCAAAGAAAATGTATACTCTTACATGTTTGTTTAAAAAGCAATTTAAATTACATTGATCCACTAAACTAGAAAAAGTAAAATAAAGAAAAAGGGGAAATAATTAAGACATAAGGAAAATGTGAAAAGAAACCCACTAAATTTAAAAAATAAAACTAAAGGAGGATTCTTTCAAAAGACTAAGATAATAAAACAATCACGCCTCTGATAAGTGATCAAGATAAAGAAAACTTTGAAGGGAAAAGGGCATATAGCCACATGTTAGTATGATGTAAAAAGTGAAAACTTTACACATCTTTACAACACCTTTGAAGTGTGGAAGAAGTGCTCATTTCTTTTAAGAATCTACAGTTATGAAAACGAACTGAAGAAATGGAAAATCTGGAGACCAATACACAAGAAGGAAAAAGACAGACTCATCCTCCAAATTGGACATTTATTTAAACCAGGGTTTGTCAGCCTCAGCAATATTGATATATTGGGCCAGACAATTCTTTGTGGAGGGTTCTCCTGGTGTGTTGTGGGACATTTAGTAACATCCCCTCTACCCACAGAATGCCAATAAGACCTCCCGACCATGGCCAGTTGTGACCACAAAAATGTCTCCAGATATTTCCAAAGTCCCATGGGAGGCAAAATATTCCTGCAGTTGAAAATTACTGTGTAAACTAGATTTACATCCTAGGTGTTAGAAAAAAAGATGTAAAGCTTCCCAAGTTAGCCCTGCCTACCCTTGATACTGGAATGAAATAAGAGCCTTAAAGGAAACAAATAAAACTTTAATCTTATTTAATACAGAAGTAAAAAATAGAATATTACCATAGCCGTTCTAACAGTGTTTATTATAGGAATGCAAGGATGGTTCAAAATTGGGAAAATTTCATCAGGTAATTCACAAATTATATTTCTCCATGGAATTGTAGGCACAATCATGAAAAACAAGGTAGCTCTATATGCATTAAATTCATGTGATATTCAGTGGAAAACACAAGTTGCATATGTCTTATAGAAAAAAACTGAACACTGAACACATATTTTTACCATCTGCTCTTTGCCCTGAGGCTCCACTAGAAATACAGTGAAGAAACATTATATAAACACACAATTACAAAAAAAAGGAATGTGGTTACCAACAGAAGATAATTCACCTCCATTAGACAATGACAGTAAATGGAAAATGGTTAATTAATAGAGCAAAGCAAACAAAAGTGGAGGTCAGAGGGATACCAATTACAAGTAGGCTAATTTGTCCCACAGCAACCTGGAAAAGTTCTAGACTCAGACACCAGGTATCCCCGAGGGTGGGACTGATAGGCAAGACTGAAAACAGAGATTAACAAAAAGCCTATATAGAGAACACATTTTCCAGGCCCTGAAACACACTGCTCTCCCCCATCTGCTTAAGCAGAACCCAAGCAAACTTATCTACCTCAGACAAGAGAATGTAGATTTCACCTCCAGAAGAATGGAGTAGTTCCAGCCATCATTTATGATTGCACTGGGAGATAAGATAGAGGCGTAGAGGATAACAATCAGGAATCAGCATATATTCCCCCTAAAAGCCATCAGTTGCCAAGTATTGGCCATGAAGAACTCCTAATCGATTTTTTATTTTTATTTTTTATTTGTATTTATTTTATTTATTTATTTATTGAGGCAGGGCCTTGCTCTTTCACCCAGGCTGGAATGCAGGAATGCAGTGGGATGATCACACCTCACTTCAGCCTCAACATCCCAGGCTCAAGCGCTCCTTCTGCCTCAGCCTCCCAAATAGCTGGGACTACAGGTAGGTGTCACCACACCTGGCTATTTTATTTATTTATTTTTTGTAAAGATAGGGTCTCACTATGTTGCCCAAACTAGTCTTGAGCTCCTGGGCTCAAGTGATCCTCCACATCAGTCTCCCAAAGCACTGAGATTGTAGGTGTGAGCCACCACACCCAGCCTCTCAGTCTTTTAGTACCTCTCCCAAATATGAATGAACAAGAATGGAATTACAAAAAGGAATACAGGCTGGGCATGGTGGCTCGTGCCTTTAATCCCAGCACTTTGGGAGGCCAAGGTGGGCAGATCACCTGAGATCAGGAATTCAAAACCAGCCTGACTAACATGGAGAAACCCCTTCTCCACTAAAAATACAAAAATTAGCTGGGCGTAGTGGCACATGCCTGTAATCCCAGCTAATCAGGAGGCTGAGGCAGGAGAATTGCTTGAACCCATGAGGCAAAGTTTGCAGTGAGCCAAGATCACGCCATTGCACTCCATTCTGGGCAACAAGAGTGACACTCTGTCTCAAAAAAAAAAAAAAAAAAAAAAAAGACTACAAATGATAAGCAACATAGAATAGATATTTAAGGAAAGGCTTTAAAAAGAAAAATAAGACCAAAATAAACTAAGAAAAAAAAGTATTAAAGAACAAAGAGATGCTAGAGAGAAAACAAAAGAGTATCAAAATCACTTCATAAAGACACTTGTGAATGTATTATATGAATAAAACAAAAATAGAATATGAATAAGGAATAATCAGAGAAGAAAAAGTTCTTAGAACTCAGGGTTCACCTTGGGAGTTGGTCCCCAATGAGCCACACCTCCTGTCATCATGTCTTTGAACAGGCCCATCCCACAGTGAATCTGGGTTGGCCCCAAGACTCACTTTAACCTAGAGAATTTGGTAGAAATGACACTGGACCTGTTCCAGGTCTAAGTCTTAAGAACACCTGGCAGCTCCGCTTCTGTGATTCTGGAAGCCAAAACAAGTACTGACTATCCTCTTGGAGAAACAGAAGCCACAAGAAGAGGCCCGAGAGGATGAGACGCTATGCAGAGAGGAAGGCCACATGAAGAAACACCAAGACAGCAGACCTGTGGGTGAAGAAGCCATCTCAGACACTCCACTGCAGCTGAGCATCCAGATGACCAGTCCCTGACACCATCTAACTGCACAGTGAGAGATGCCAAATGAGACCAGCAGAAAAACTGTCCAGTTAGCCCCAGTTAACCCATACGGTAGTGACAGACAAATGTGTAGTTTTATGCCATTAAGTTTTGGGAAAATTGGTTAAGCAACAATAAATAACCAAAACAAAACTTAAAGTTATGACTGTCCAAATAAAATTTCCTAAAAGTCAAAAGATAAAAATATTCCAGAACTTAAAATTTAAAAAAAATTAGAAATAACGTGAGATACACAACTCAAGACAAAAGGACTAAAATCCAATTAACAGACACTTCAAAATGAACAAACAAAATGGAAAGGAGAAAGTTAACAAAAATATGACAAGATTCAAGATTCCAACTTTGAAAGAGTCTATCCATAGGCCTGTCCATTCAGTGTACCCAGTACAATGAATGAAAAAAGACCCACATTAAGTACAATGTTGTGCTATTTCAGCTCACCAAGGAAAAGACAAACTCCTAAAAGCTTCCAGAAAGTCATGCATAAATGAGTGAAACTCAGGATGACATGAGGTTCCACCACCACAACTGGTTAGAAGACAACAGCACAGACTTTGAAATTCTAAGGTAAAATTATCCTCAACCTAGAAATACATAATCAACCAAACTATCCATCAAGTGTGAGGGTAGACTATGACAAAAGAGAATAGTGATGGGGATGTGCTATGCACCAGGCACTATTCTAAATGGTTTACATGTACCAACTCATTTAATCATCATAGCTCCCTAGAAACATAGGTACTAATACTATCACTGGTTCCCCCATTTTGCAAATGGAAAATTGATGCATAGAGCAATTAGGGAATCAGCCCAAGGGCATACAGCTAATAAGCAGTAGAACCAAGATTCAAACCTGTCTCAGACTGGCTCCAAAACCCAAACACTGGATTGTATTTTTTCAGAAGCTAGAGATCAGAAAATATACCACCCCATGCTTCCTTTGGGTTTTACTTGAGGACATAGTCAGGTAAAATGACAAAGGGAAAGCCAAGAAAGATGACATGGGATCCAGGAAACTATGGATCTACTCTAGGAGAGCAGATGAGAAAAACCTCAAGGTGACATCTGCACAGCCAACCCAAAGAACAATCTGCCAAAATGGGCACAGAGGAGCCAAAGGCTTTGGAAGAGAAGGAGATCTCACAGAAAAGGCTACAACAGAATTTTTTTATTTAAAAATTACTATTATGAGGAAGACACTGCAAAACAAAAAGCAGCACCAAGAAAACAAATATCCTATCCTAAATATTCTAGAAAACTTGGCTTTATAAAGTCCTAATCATAATTAGTGATAACTTATATGACTAAAGATAATATTTGAGGAAGGGAAAGTGAGTGGTATAAGAACCAAATTCTCATGTATTATACTAAAAAGTCAATAACTGATACCTAAATAGATAAATCCAGGAAGAAGTTAGGGGTAGTGGTGAGCTAGTGGAGATTTCTGTTGCTTGCAGGAGATAACACTTGGGCGAGTCCTTAAGAATCATAGACAGACTTAAGGAGATGGCATTTCTAGGTGAAGGTAATTCAATGAACAAAGACAAACAATGAAAGAAGCAAGAACATTTATGGACACCAGGAATATTAACAACAAAAAGCTGGTGTTAGGGAAAAGGGCAATTTTTTACCTGTCATACTAAATGCTAGCAGCTCCAAAGAATGAAAAGGTTGTTTTTAGTATCTAAAACAGAACAAACAAAACAATTCAATAGGAACAGAAAAACAAACTTCTAAATAAGTTGAATAATTTTTAAAAATCATCCTAGTTTGACTTTTTTTTAGACAATTTATTTTCACTCTTGAACACTACACAATTTTTACTTTACCTGACCTATGGGTAGTGGTTGATCTGGCATCTCAACATCCAGGTGCTTAGGAAGGTTATCTAATCTGCGGAGTCTACATATCCAGCACTTCAATTGCTGATGAAGCTACAAAACACATTTCAGTAAATAAGCATTATGTTAAAGAGCCCTTAGAAGACATCAATAATGTTATGACTACTGTAATCAACCCAGTAGGAAATAAAAAAGTTTGTTATTACTCACCTACCACTTACAGATTAAAAAAAAAAAACAAAAAAACCTCTTTAAAATATTTTCAGGAGGCTCTAGTTTAAGAAAGTTACTATGGCTTGGGGTATAATCACTACTATTGATACCTGGCAGAATGACAACAATAAAGGCAGAGGATCCTAGGAAGTTCCAGATATTGTCCAATTTCTCATTGCTACCTTGTTTTCCTAGAAACTTACAACTTCAAACAAGAGAACCTTAATACATTAATGAGGCTACCAAAAAGAAAAAGAAAAAAAACCACACACAGGCAGTGTTGTTACACATGGATTATAAAATTATATATTCCAGTGATAGTCAGTTAAAAGTACAAAAGCAAATGTAATCCAGCAGACAGAGCCTGGAAATCTAGATGACCTTGGATATCACATCTAATTCCCTGAGTTTGAGTCTACTGATCTGTAAAACAAAGAAATGAAAACTTTCCCAGAATGATAAAGATTAAATGAAAACTGTAAAACATTTGATATTTAGTAGGCTCTTGTCTGTCTAAAAAATAATAATTCACTAGGAAACTGCAAAGAATAACTAAATTTCCATGTTTAAGTCTAAATTGTATTGTAAGCACATTTACTTTAAGGAAGTAAGCAAGGTAAACTATGTGCACAAGTGTGGTTTTCATTGTTTAAAATGTTTTTCAATGTATAAGGTGACTCAAATGGGATCTAATAAGGCAACTCACTTCACTTGGTCAGGAACAATTTTCTGGGTATCTCTGACCAAGAAGAGAGATAAAGAGAAAGAAGCAGGTTCACACAGGACAAAGAAAGAAGACACAGGATTAGAATGGGTTAACGAAGCAAAGAATAAGCCTTCCCAAAGTGAACAATGAAGAAGGTGGAAACAGGAAGGTTGAACCATAAATTAGGATCCACCAAAAATCCTCATGCTTAAAAGGAAGCCAAGCCCCAGTGTGGATTTGTTATGCACCCAATGTGCTCTGCTTTGTGCATAATGAAGATGAGGCAGGGCGATCTGGACACAGACCTGGACACTCTGACCTCTAGCACAGAAGGGGCTACAGGAGGGCTGGGGTGAAACAGGAATTAAAAGAAATTAAAGAATGTGTAAGCAAAAACTCAGTTGAATGTAAAAAAAAAAAAAAAAAAAAAGCAAAACTGAATTCCCCCTAAGAAAGAAAAAGAGGTGGAGCACTTTAAAAATTAACTGCCTGTTTTTCTGAGGCTAGTGAGCCTTATCTCTCCTCCTTTCCCAGGTATTGTGAAGACCCTGTTTCTCTAGCTGTGCAGCTGCAAGGTCACTAGACAGATAAACTCAAGTTGTAAAACATGTTTTTCCTTGAAAAGTAAAAAATAATGTAATGTATGTCTCAATTGAAAAACTATCTTTGTTGCTTGCTTCTGTAATATGCTTCCCCCTGCATAGATCTCCCCCACCCCACAAAATGCTTAAAAGGTAACCTGACTCTTTGTTCAGGGCTCAGTCCTTTAGATGTTAATCTGACTGGGCCAGGGCACCTAAATAATAATATATATCCTCCTCAACCCCTCAGTCTCTCTGATTCCTAAATTATCCCGCTGCAGGGGGAGAGAGGCAGCAGGGTAGTGGAGTCATACCAAGCAACAAGAAAGACAGGGTAGTGGCTGGGCACGGTGACTCACACCTGTAATCCCAGCAATTTGGGAGGCTGAGGCAGGCACATCATCTGAGGTCAGGAGCTGAGACCAGCCTGACCAACATGGTGAAACCCCATCTCTACTAAAAATACAAAAATTAGCTGGGCATGGTGACAGGTGCTTGTAATCCCAGCTACTCAGGAGGCTGAGCCAGGAGAATTGCTTGAACCTGGGAGGTGGAGGTTGCAGTAAGGCAAAATTGCACCATTGCACTGCAGCCTGGGGGACAAGAGTGAGAGTTCATCGAAAGAAAGAAAAAGGAAGGAAGGAAGGAAGGAAGGAAGGAAGGAAGGAAGGAAGGAAGGAAGGAAGGAAGGAAGGAAGGAAGGAAGGAAGGAAGGAAGGGAGGGAGGGAGGGAGGGAGGGAGGGAGGGAGGGAGGAAGGGAAAGGAAGGAAGGAAGGAAGAAAAGAAGAAAAAGACAGACAGGGTAGTACATTTTCCATGAATTTCAATTTTACTCTCTTCCCCCACCACACAAACACAAAAGCATTTGAGGGATGGGAGGAAGAAAGTGAGATCACAGGGAAAATAGTAAGAGACATTCAGAAGGACAGGTCTTAGAAATTTACTAGTTTCGGGGGGAGGGGGGCAGTCAGAGAGCAGTAGTATATAAAAGAATGCTAGGACAGTTCCCAGGTTTAGGCATGGGTGACTAGTTTGATTATTTCATTTTGTCCCACTTGCAGTTACAAGGAGAATTATTGATGGAACACATGATAGGGCTGATAGAGTGCTAGGAAGCGGATACATGAAAATTTAAATATCATCATTTTGAACACCCATGTTACTCCAAGTGAGATTCCCTAACATATATGATATACAGACAGATATATGGGCTTGAAACTCTGGAGATGAATACAGATTTAGGAATCCCTGGAACACAGGTCATGACTTAAGTAATGGGAGTCAAAGATTGCTCAGAGAAAACACAGGATGAAAAGAGAAGAAAGAAGTAGGCCAACGAAGAAGAGATCGGAGGAGACCAAGGCAGGGTGATAAGATCAAAACAGGAGAAAAGAATCCGATAGAAGTCCCATTCGATTATCATGTCCCTTCCCAGAGGACATGGACATGCTTTTTTTTTTTTTTTTTTAATCTTTTATACCCAATTATCACAGGTCCTGGCACAGAAGCCACACAGTTTTTTTTAATTGTGTTCTACTATTCAGTTTCCCGTATCCACCAGGGGAGAAAAAAGTAAGTATAAACAAGCACAGACATAGATTTTTTTACACTGTATACTAAAGGGGTCAGATTATACACAATATTTTATGCCTCACTTTTTTACCTAATATATATTAGAAGTTTGTACATGTTCTTATGGAAAGACTGGCTGCATTTTTTTGTTCTACAACAGAATATTCTATTATAAAACTGTACACTATAATTTTTATTTAACCAGCTCTTTATTGGCGGATATTAAGAATGGAGGAATGTTTCAACAAGGGAACAATCAACAGTATCAAAATACTGCAGAGGGGTCAACTTGGGGACTAAGAGGGGAGCCACTGGATTTGGCAACTAGGAGATAAATTTTAGCACAATGATGAAGGCAGAATCCACATTATAATGAGCTCAGTGAAAAAAGGTGAAGACATATAGCTTATTCTCTTAAGAAACTACGCTACGGTAAACTGGCAGAGGCTGTAAGAGTGGGCAGTGAGTTGTTTTCTCCTTCATGTAAATATATTTACTTTTTTAAACACTAGGCCCAATTTTATACCCAACTTCATTAATTTTACGAACATGTTTATGTAAGTATGTATATATGTATGTTATGTAATGTTTTAGACACTGAAAAATAACTCATTTCTGCTATTATAAAACTGTTATCTTTAGATGTTCAGAAGCAACTCCCTAAAACTAGGTAGCAGTAATGGAGCTATGTCTATCATTCTTTCCCATCAACCTCCTTGCTGGAAATGTAAACATGTGTCCATCAAGCCTTTAATTTTTACATCTCATCTTTATGGCTCTCCATACAAAACTTAACCTTTTTTTTGTTTTGTATATGTATATTTATATGTATATCTATCTATCTATCTCTATATATAGATATATATATATATAGAGAGAGAGAGAGAGAGTCTTGCTATATTGCTCAGGCTGATCTCAAACTCCTGGACTCAAGCAATCCTTCCACCTTGGCCTTGCAAAGTGCTGGGATTACAGGCATGAACCACTGTGCCCAGCCTCAGGCTTAACTCTTAAAATATCTTCAAACTGATGTTCTTCTGTTCTAATTTTTAAGTATAGATGTGTTTAAACCAACTATAACTTATTTTGACAAAAATTGGGGTTAAGACTCAAACTTCCTCAGATGGTCAGTTCTCATAAAACTATTTACAGAATAATCTATCCTTTCACTGTTAAGTTAAAATACCACCTTTTCCTTACACTAAATTCTCATTTGCATGACTCTGGTTCTAAACTTCCATTGCCTTTATCTGTCTGGCCCAGGGCTAGTCTACAATATTTTATTTAATATCTGATTGAAAGAGTCTATACTTTATTATTTTTTATTATTTACTCTTCTAAACAAACTTTAGAGTCATTTTGTCAAGTGCCAAAAATAAATCTGCAGGAATTTGTAAATTGTGTGTGTGTATATATATATATATATATATATATATATTTTTTTTTTTTTTTTTTTTTTTTTTTGAGACAGGATCTCACTCTGTCATGTAGGCTGGAGTTCAGAGGCATGATCTCGGCTCACTGCAACCTCTGCCTTCCAGGCTCAAGTGATCCTCCTGCCTCAACCTCAGGAGTAGTTGGAACTACAGGTGTGTGCCACAGACACCCAGCTAATTGTCATCTACTCACCTCAGCTTCCCAAACTTTCGGGATTACAGGTATGAGCCACTGTGCCCAGCAGAAATTACATTTATAAATTAATATGAAGACATGTTGATAACTAACATATTTATAACATGAAATCTGCTCATCCAGGAACATAGAATGCAAATCTTTCATTCCACTCAGCAAAATTTTGTCATGTCCTTGATAAAAGTCCTGCACATCTAAGTTTATTCCTAGATATTTAATTTTTGCTGAAATACATGAAAAAATACTTCATCACTATATCTTCTAAGTGATTATAGCCAACATTGGGGAAGGCTAATGATTTTTATATAAAAGAGCTTTTAACCAGTAATCTTAAATATTGTTTTTTTCAGTTAGTTCCTTTGGATATTTTTAGGTAAACAATCACGTC